AAAACTACAGCTGGTGGCCCCACTCTGAGTGACCATTTCAGATGGAAACACATTTTTTACAAGAAAATTTTTGAAAGTTAAACCAGCAGGAAAGCGGGCTCTCTGGTTGGAGACAGGAAGGTGGGGGTCCTTCTCGGCTCGGGTGAGCAGTTGGCTTTGGCCAGTTCTTACGTGTAAACAGCAATTTTCTGAACTGGAATGGGTGCTGGGATTTTCTTTGTGGAGCCAAGAGGTGTGTGGAGAGCAGTGGTGTTTAGTTAAATTACGGGTCTGGATGCAGACTTTGCAGCAATGCCCCACTCCCCTGTGAGTGCTACACACACGCACACGCATGCATGTACGCGCACCCTGCTTCCCATCGCGCTGCCCTAAACCATGAAGGCAGGGGCATCTGTTGGGGAGGGGGCTGTCCCCGAGGGGTGCAGGGCTCTGGGTGGGCACCTAATGTCTTTAGGAGTGGAAAGCATTCACGTAACGAAGTGTTTTCTGCAACCCCTCCACCGAAAACTCCAAGCAAAGGAAATTTAAGATCAGTTGCCCAGTGGATTTTGGACTGAGCTCTCTCTGGCATAGATGGGTGGCTCTTTCCATCTAGGTGTACTGTGGGGGCCCAGCAGGGCTGTCTGAGCATTTTAGTGAGCATTGGCCGGCTTCCCTGCACCTTGGCTGGCTAAGTACCGTATTGGGATGAAGGCTGTGGGGTAGGAAACAGTTACCTCAAGGGCCTAGCACAGGAAGAAAATGCAGCTGGCTCTCTCCATTGTGGGTGGAGAGGATTTTCTCTAACGAAATGACTGCAGAGTCAGGGGCCAGTGGGTAACTTCTGCTCAGCGTGTCCAAGGTCAGAAAATGGTTCAAGTTCTGGGGGTCCTGGATGGTTCCTGGGGCAAATGGAAGCTAGACTCAAGGATTGGGAATAGAGAGTTACCCCAAACTTGCACACACTCACACAGGCACATGTGTGCACGCGCACACATGCATGCATGTACACACGCACACTGAGAGACCTTGATCGTATTGATGGGAACTGGAGGACCTTCACTGAGTCCCCCTGCAAGCCTGGACACAACATCCTAGCCCCGCCCACTTCCTGCCATCCTCAGTAGCCATGGAGATGGAAGGGAAGTGGAGGGAAGAATGTGTTATTCTAGAATCCTCTGCCTGCCTCCTGCATCCCTCTCCAGAAGGCAAATCGTCGAGCAGTCCACAGTCCCTTTAGCGGTAACGCCACCAGGATTCCCAAATGAATCACTGCCATTTCCCCCATGCGCCCCTGGCAGGAGAGGTCACCGTGTGCAGACCTGTCACCCGAGCCATGCTCCCCTCTCTGAAGCTGAGATGTCGGCGAGCGGCTCACCAGGTGTCTCACATCTTCCCACTGGCCTTTTCAACGTTTGGAAGGTTTTGATTAAACAGTTTCCTTCTAGTGTTTGCTGAAGAGTGAGACCCAGCCCTGTATCTGAGCTGGTTCCTGGAGAGGATGTTTTCGTAACTTTGACACTTCGGCGCAATGTCTGGGGCCTGGAATTTCTCATCTTTCTTTAAAAAAAAAAAAAATGTTTTGAAAGACCTTTTTGGGACTGCGTAGATTTATGGCTGGGTGTCTGCCCCAGGTTTTAGGGCTCCGTCTTGGCAGGTTTATGGCTTTGGGGCGACGCTGGAGGGTGGAAGGGGAGACCTTTCCATTTAACAGTTACTAGGAATGAACATTCTGTTGACTTCTGTTCTTTGGAACGATGACACGTTGGTCGTTTGATTCTCTGAGTCCACGTGAACGTTTGGAATAAAATAGGGCCTGCTCCACACCCACCTGGCTCTGAACAACGTATAAACGAGACCGTGGGGTTCGTTTCATAGAATGCCTCTCCAGAGTTTCTTTAAGTCGGGAACTCCACTAGTGCATGTTTGTAGATCACATTAGTGTTTCTTTATAGAGATTTAATTACTTGGCTGGGGCAAGAAAAAGGAATGAAAAATCTAAAATGAAACTATTGGGAGTCTTTGCCCAACTGAAATCATGTAGCGATTCAGGAAAGTGTTTTTGGAAATTGTAGTGGAAGAGAATGGGGCAATAGAGTTGATTTATCAAACTTTGTGTAAGGCATCTTTCTGCCGCATGTCATTCTGAGCTTGAAGGATGAATTTAGTAATTGACTTTGGATTCAGTTACAGTGACCATCTATTTAGCGTCTACCTGGTGTCCCGCTTAGACACTTTGGCATGTGTTATTTAATTTAGTCCTAATAGGAACCTTGTGTGGTAGGCTAATTATTCTATCTCCATTTTATAGTGGATTAAATTCCACATTCTATTAGAATGTGAGCCCCAGCACCCAGCACTTAATGTGTCTGTTGAATGAATACATTAGGAAAGTTAGGTTAGTAAAATCGGGCCATTAGTGAGCGTAGGGAGAGAGTTAAATCTGGAGAGGGCCTGATGGAGTTTCACCGCGAAGGTGACCTTGATCCACCAGGGAGATGTAAGGAATGGACAAGAAGGGAGATGGTCAATAAGGAGCAGAGTAAGATGCCCACCAGTTAACGAGTGGTTCTTGGAGCTTGGTGGTGTGGACACTGGTGGGATCGTCATAGAATGTCCTCACGTACATTATCTCATCTAATCTCCCATTCTTCTGAAAAGAGATGGAAACCAGTAAATCACAGCTTTAAACACTTGTGCAAACCACTGCATGGCTCTCACAGCCAGCAGCATGAATGCAGAGTTGTGAGGATGCTGTCCTCTTAAAATAGCGCAGGAAGTCCACTACAAGGGTATTCCAGTTTGGGCTCAGTCGGTGGGCCGCCATAGCACATGTTCCCTCTGGGAGCCACTAGCTGAAGTGTGAGCTCTCTGAAGTCTGGGAACTTCCCCGTGTCGTGCCCATCACGCTTGCAGACTCATGAGGGTTCAGGGTTAGGTGGGACCTGGAGCTCTGGTCCCAGGTGTCACTGAGCTGCGGTTCTGCTGTTGGAGGGGGGTCGGTTGGTCCTTTCTCTCAGCAGATGTGTCAGGAGCCTCAGCAATAACAGTGATCCAGGCAGCCATGGCACGTGTACTTACGTATCCTACATCGAATTGTGGTAGATGTTTGTGACATTGTGAGTTTTTTAAATTTATTTTTATTTTTAATTGTTTTAATTTTTTTTTTTTTTGAGGAAGATTAGCCCTGAGCTAACTACTGCCAGTCCTCCTCTTTTTGCTGAGGAAGGCTGGCCCTGAGCTAACATCCATGCCCATCTTCCTCTACTTTCTATGTGGGATGCCTACCACAGCATGGTGTGCCAAGCGGTGCCATGTCCGCACCCAGGATCTGAACTTGTGAACCCCGGGCCACTGAGAAGTGGAACGTGTGAACTTAACTGTTGTGCCACTGGGCTGGCCCCTATTTTTATTTTTTATAAATAGTTCATTAATTTTATTTCACTTGCGACTGTTTAAATATCTCAATTATCCACTAACGAAATTACAAAACAATTGAACTTCAAAGTACTTTTGATTTAAAGAATTTTTTTCCAGTTTTATTAAAAAATAATTGACATACATCATTGTATAAATTTAAGGTGTGGAGCAAGTTTTTAAAAAATTATGTTTCAAGGTTTGTCTCGTCCCTTTATTTTGGGGTTTCAGTCTTGCCTTTCTTTGTGCATTCTCATCAAACATTTTCCCCCTATCTTTACTGAGGTATAATTGAGAGACAAAATTGTAAGATTTTAAAGTGTACAACGTTATGATTTGATACATATCATCGTGACAGGCTTCCTCCCATCGTGTTAAGACCTGTGCTTGTATTATATGCAGCCAAATGAGACCACCCCCCGTACCTACTGAGTTTCTAAATTTTTTATTTGACGTTAGAAGAAAAAACCTAAAGAAGCTTCACATAGCCTAAACTCAGTCTTTCAAGTAAATTTATCTTATTTTTTCATTTTTGCCTCCTGCATGTGAGAGTTTTGGTCCCTGCTCTGAACAGTCTATGTCATTCAGCTTCCATCACACTTTGCTTTGGAACTGATGGAATTCTGCAATGTGGTCACACTCATTGCTTTTTGCACCCACCAAACATCTGGTGTGGGCTTCTGTGTGCCCGGCCCTATACTTGGCATTGTGGGTGTGCCTCGAGGAGTCAGAAGCTTGCTGTCTGGGGAGGAAGTAAAGAAGACAGGATTATCTGTGAGTTTAGCACCAGGTGGAAAGGAGTGAGTTCTGTGAGAGGCAGATGGGTGCAGAGTTAGGGGGTTTCAGAAGAGGGAGAAACAGCTTCTGGATGGGGCAACTAGAGAGATATTTTGAATTTTGGAGAAGGACGTTGGATCTTGGAGGATGGTTACAACTTGCCATGGGAGATGTAGGGGTGACGAGGCATCCACTCCTGCAGCTGTGTGGACGAAGGTGTGGAGACCTGGGGATTAGCTGGACTTGACTGCCTGGAGGGTGAATCAAAATGAAGCCCGAGAAGTCAAGAGGGGAAGGACTGGGGACTGAGCTTGGAGGCTGGTCCTTGCGTTTGAGGCCAGCGTCAGTCTTGTTGACAGACATACCAGCACCCAGAACAGCTTGGTGTAGACAGTCCACACATATTTTTGAATTACATGTGAGTTTCTTATTGACAAATTTCATGGGTACTTTCTGGGCAGCGGATTTTTGTGCACATAGCTCTGTTTTGTTCATGTCCCTTCGGGTTAAAAACAGCTTTGACATGTGACTTTTCTCTTTTTGCTGGTAATCAGAATGAAGCTGGTCGTCATGCCCAAAGGGGTTCTGAAGTCCACTCTATGTTTTTATGAAACTCCAGCTTTTAGGTTGTGGCCTAAAAACCTAAGGTACGCAGAGTGACTGTCTCCAGCATCCTGAGACATCTAGACGGGCTGCTGCTTGCAGCTCGGCTGTACCTGAAATGGCCTTCCGAGAGACGTGTGGAGAGTGGCTTGCTTCAGCGTCTTAGCGAGCATTGCTTCAGATAACCTGGTTAACCCATGTCCTCCTCTTGTCATTTCTTGCAGATGGTCACGAGAACAAAGAAAATATTTGTAGGTGGATTATCTGCGAACACGGTGGTGGAAGACGTGAAGCAATATTTCGAGCAGTTTGGCAAGGTAAGGGGTGCATGGGGTTGGAGCAGCCCGATCAGTCCTTAGAAGTGGCTGCCGTGGCCCCTGCCTTTGCCACAACTGTGTCCTCAAGAACCTTGTCCTTGAACTTGCCTGTCAAGATTTCAGTAGAGTTCGGCAGGAGCCAGGACGGAAGAGTCCAGCTTGCGGTCGGCACGGCGCCCCACGTGCCTGCAGGAGCAGACAGAGTGGTCTTTGAGTGTGGTTTTGCTGGCATTTGCTGGCCACGTGGGGCCTGGGCTGGGAGCTGGCACTGGTAGTGGCTGAGGAGGGATGCGGGGCTATGAGTCCCAGGGCAGGCGCTCCCACAGAAGCTGCTGGAGGCCTGTGAGTCAGCCTTGGGCTTCCTTCTGTGTCTTTCTGGAAAATGCATTGAGAGAGGAGGCTCCCTGGGGCCCTTTGCAGCTGAACCCTCCCCTGTCAAATGCCCAAGGAAACTTGGGAGAGATGCTGGGCCCGTACCTGTCAGAATGTCTGTGAGACAGTAAAATTTTCCCCTGGGCTCTGCTGCGGGAGCAGGCTGGGAGCAACATGGAATGCCTCAAATCAGTCAGGAAATGGAGTGTAAGAGTCTGTGTCTGTGACAGACAGACTCAGACAGACGGACAGGGTCTGTAACCATGGGTTTTATGCTTAACTCAGCCTCGTTCTAGTTGGTAGGGGGAGCCAGGGCCTTGGAGAGTGGATTCTTCCTGAGGGTGACGCATTCCTCATAGGGCTGTGTTGCCCCAGGGCTTCAACAGGGCAGCTTCTGGGGGGCTGACCCTTACTGGATTTGTGTGGTACCCCTTCGCTGGCTCCTGTGTCTCGGGAGGCTGGCAGGTGAGTGGCTGCACCAGACCTCCGCTTCCTGCATCTCTGAGTAGTGGTGAATGTTGTCCTAGGAGCCCAGATGTAGGACAGTCTTCTTCTGCACAGTCCCTGTGTCCCCTGCCCCCGCCAAAGGGTTGACGTGGCAGAGGGCGCTGAGACATCCAGAGAAGACAGCACATCTCTTCTAAGCTCCGCCACTCCTTTCCCCCGTTAGGGCTGTCATGCTTGCCCTGGGTGGAACAAAGGCACTGCCGCCCACTGGCTGGTCTGAAAGTTCTGCGCTTTTATTTGTTTGCCCGAGGCCATGGGCAGCCATGACCCTGTCCCCAGGTGTGTCCAGTTGTGAGCTACTGTCTGGGATGAGTGCCATGACCTCTGTTTAGCCTCAAAATGGAGATTTTCCTGTCCCTGGTATTAATCAATTTCTGCATGGATGGGAGACCATGCAACAAAGAGAAGCCAGCCCCCTCCAGCCCAGCCTTGCATTCGGAATGGCACTTAACTGCCCATCCAGGTCGGTTATGAAAGACGCCTTGCCCACAGCACTGGCGGGCATTGCCAGTTGGGGGCTGATTCATTTTGGCTGCTTGTAAAGAATAGCTGAGTGTGTCGGCGATCATGGACATTATAGGACTTCTCTTCAAGGCTGATTTATAGCACCCAGGGGGATTTGTCCATCACCCAGCCCCACCCTGTGCGGGAGAGAGATTGGAAATAATTTAATGAGACAAGTCCAGCTTTTGTAATGGAAGGCTCTGGAGTGGGAGCCCTCTTTGCTACCGTTCTGCTGTTAAAACGAGGCGTGGGGGGTAGTGTTTGCGAACATGAGGTGGGACTTCTTTTTCGAGCCATAACCTGCCTTGGAATCTCATGGGCCTATTTGTGGGTGTCAGGGAAGTTGATGCTGCCCAGATGGGCTGTTAGGGTATTCCAGACAGGCTTATACTTGCCACATCTCTGCACCTTCCCAACTCTAGGTTTCTCTCTCTCTCTCTCTCCCTTTCTCTCTTTCTTTCTGTCATTTTTCATTAACGCTTTTAGTCGTGACCCAGCGTGTCAGCAGTGGGAGGCTCTGCAAACTGTGGCTGAGCCCATGGCGGGGACCATTGCTGCCCTGAGAACAGCTGTCCTCTTGTGTGGGAGGCTGTCACAGACCGTCTTCCCTGGCATGGCCCTCTCCGGGTCTGAAGCCACTCAGTTAATTTGGCAGTAACATTTGTGGATTCCAGCAGGATGCGTAAACTTATCAAGTGCTTTATTAAAGGACTAAGGAGGCTTTGGATTGTATCAGAACCAGGACACTCCGTCTGCTCATGTTTTAGTAGCTTGTTTCATACATACGCTTTGCGTCTGTCTTCAGAATACCTTATGCATCCTCTGGCTGGTGGCTAGGGCTACATTTGTGCCCCCTTGGGCAGGGCCTGCTACCTCTCAGGTTTCTGGTATCATTCATTTGAATCCAGAATGGTCAAAGGAGGGGAGACTCTGCTGCTGGACCTTAGAGGCAATGAGTAAATCTAGTGGCTGTGGAAGGAGGTAACAGACAAACTGAGTCTCCCCTTCGGTAGTTTATATTCTAGTTGAAGGAAACAGAACACACACACACACACTCACACGCACGCACGCAAACACACACACGTATATTTATACGAAGTCTGTTCACGCACGTGGACGCATTCCTGACTGTGTTAAGTTGCTTGGGGCTATTTTCAGTTGGTAAACCGCAAGTTAGTGAGGTATAATTTTATTATTTAGTGAGTGTGTACTAAGTGTTGGATACTGGGCCAGGTCATTAACTGATATTATCCATTTAATTCTTCTCTGGGAGGGTGGTGGGGGAATGACCCATTTTGTAGATTGTTAAATGGAGTGTCGGTGGCATTGAACCCTAGACTCAAGGTCACAGCCTCCTGAAGGTTAGAGCTGGATGCAGGTTTCCCCTGCAGGCTTGTCTGGTAACAGAACCTGAACTCTGGGTCCTGTTCCAACTGCTAGTCCACCCACAGGATGGACTTAGGGTGTGGGGGATGCAAAGGAGAGGAAAACATTGTGCCCCTCCGTGTGCCCAGGGACAGTGCTGGGAACCTGGACAGGCACTACCTCATTTCATCTGCACCGTGAGTTTCAGTCTCATAGAGCCCATTTGACAAAGGTGGACAGTGAGGGTCAGGGAGGTTAGGTCTTAGTAAAGGTCACCTAAGTAAGGCAGTATGATAGCCAGAATTCACACACGACTTCCTCTTCCTCCGAGTCTAGAACTTTCCATTCTTCCATGGCCTCTATTCAGAGTTTGCCACCCTCTGTTTAGGTTTCCCTGGCTGTCATTCCTCTCTCCTCTCCCTCTTCCTGTCTTGCCTGAGGTGGCAGCTGTTTAACTGTTTATTTCAGGTGGCAGTCAAGATGGGTAGGACTGCTATCATGGGGCTGAGCGAAGGGAGTCTCAATATGTCATTACTGTAAGTGGAGTGGGTGCAGAATGACACACCGAGAGCTTTAAATAACTCAAATTGGAGGCTTGTAAACCCTTTTGTGCTTTTCTCCTACTTTCCTCCCGGAAGAGTTACCTACTCCCCGCCAGGTTAGGGATGTCGTTACTTGTTTATATTTAAGAGGAGATCATGAAGTGTGGCCATTGGCATAAAGACTCTGCTACCTTGCATGGCTGTCCTCAGTCTCTAAGTAGCTGTTTTGCTGCTGTCATTGGAGAAAGGTAAGCTAGAAGGTGTTCCAGGCCCTCATGCTGGGCCTGACTGTGCAGTGACCCCACTGTGACACCTTAACAGACCTTTTTTTTTTTCCTGGCCTCAGTTTCTCATCTGAGGGAAGGTGTTGGAAAAGTCATAAAGGATCAGTTAGTAAATATTTTTGGCTCTGCAGGGCATATGGTTTCTGTCACAACTACTCAACTTCTGCTGTTGTATGGAGAAAGCAGCTATAGCTAACATGCAAACAATTGAGTGTGGTTGTGTTCTAATAAAACTTTATTTACAAATACAATTGGTGGGCCACATTTGGCCTGTGGGCTGTAGTTTACCACCCTGGACTAGATTATTCCTAAGGTTGGTTTCAAGCTTGAAAATTCAGTAATTTGGGAAGTGTTTAAATAAACATACATACGTGGATAAATAGATAGATATCTAAGATATCTATGAACTGTAACCAAAACAAGATATTATCAGTAGTAATGAGCATGATATAATAAGCAAAACTGTCATAACCATGATAGAGTTCATTTCTGGACTTCAAGATACAGAGACAGTGAAAGGATTCTCTATTTGCAAAAAGCTGCTATTTATAGACTGGAATCTTCATCCTATGAGTAAGATCCAGAAAAACCATAGAGTATTTCCGATTCCCTATTAACATGTGCTGGATCTAAATTAATGAAGACTCAGAATTTGTGAAGTTCAGATTTTACTAAAGATTCTTTTACTGTGTGTTGATGTTTCTGAATTAGAGGAACGTGTGCTTTGTGCTAAGCTTTTTAATGCATTTAAAAACTTGATTCTTAAGGATGTCAAGCGAGGTCGTCGTAATATCTTTTACGTAGGTGATGAAAGTGATGTTGAGAAAGGCCAGTACGTTGTCCAAGATTGCATAGCCTCTGTTGCGTAGAGCCCAGAGAGTCACTCATTTTTGCAAAATCTAGCCCTCGCCTCTTCTCAGTGTTTGTAGAACCTCATCTGCCACTTTACCACTGAGCAGCCCCATACTCAGAGGGAGCAGGTTTTGTTCATTTGTCAAGAATGTTGATCTACGGTCATTTATTTTACTGCTTCAGGTTTCCTAGTGGACGTTATCTATGCTCGCAATTTCATACTACAGGAATGATGTATATAGACCGTTCCAGAAAATGGCACGTAAAGGATGCTCTAGATATGCACGTACAGACCCAGACAATCAATCGACCTGTTCTCCACGTTCTCCCTGTGTAGCCGTCCGGAAGGGCCCCACTTGGTAATTAAAAAGCACTGGGATCAAAGAACCTCCCTGTGCATGGGTTTCCTTCTTCTCCCCTTTAGGCCCCTCCTTCAAGTACTGGTTTCTTAAATTCTCACTTATAGGATTTCGGAGATCAAAAAGAGGCCTTTAAACTTAATGAATTCTCGACTTCGTCCCGGATGGAGCAGTTCGGCACCTTTCAGCTGTTCACCTCGATGATAGGGCTGCTC